ATATCTTCTTGTAAATGCTCCAGTAAATAATCTAATTTAATTAATCTCACTGGACCTTCCCTCGCGAGCAAGTATGTCCAAACTCCAAACTACCTCATCTCGAATTCAATTTTAGGACTTAATAAACAATAATTTTCTTAGTAAACTATATTTGCTCTTATTCAGTTTTGCTAAAATTTTACAATTTTTTCTTCAATTTATTTTCAAATAATATTCACCAACATCCTTCAAAAATGTTACATTACATTTTGCATTATTTTTTATTAAAATGTCCTTATTTCATCTACTGATAAATGGATATGATGAAAAAAATTTATAAACTTTTTATAATTTTGAAAAATAATTTAAAAATAAATTATTTAGTTTACTCATCATGTTTCTCTTTCAAGTCTCTCTCTATCTAACCTTTTAGGTTTAATTTGTGGGGAAGAGATGGTGATTATAACTCATAAGAAGAACAGCGTATGGTCGTATGGATGAGGATGACTATGGGGTTAACATCGTCTGGCCCTAAATATTACTTACTCTGTTCACTTTTATCAGAAAAAATTATTCAACTTATGCATGCCAATAATTAATACAAACAATTTTAACTAATTTATATTTATAGTAATTTTTCCCCAACATTTCCTTTCTGCTTTCAATTAATATTAATTCATCATTTTCTAAACTTTACTATTAAGCCAATAAAGTAACTTTTTCTTATTACTTAAAGGTATCTTCCCACGAGAAAAATATTTTTCTTAATGATACCCTCCAAGAGATGATAATTTTTTATAGAGATGTATTCAAGAAATTATTTCGTTTTCTTAAATAATAATGTGACTCTGATGCATGCCAGTAGAAATAATGTTGGATAAGAATGAAAAAGAAAGATAAAGAATATATATATAAAAATTAAAAAGTTTACATATGCTTGTCAATTTTGAGCAACTATGAAAAAAATATAGGTAATTAATTATTTTGGTCCAAAAAGGGATACGACAAAAAAATATCTATTTTGTACATTCTGCTGCTTTAACTTAGCTCACATATAATACATGACATCTTAAGGAAATAAAGAAAAGGACTATTTCAAGAGAAAAGAAATAAAAATAGTTTAACTATGCAAAGTGTTTTTAAAATTTTAAATTTTTTCGTAAATCTGGATAGTTAACTTCAAAATTTATATAAGTAGATCCGTTATTTTATGTAAACATTAATATAAATTTTTAAAATATGATGTTTGAAAACTTGTGATAATAAAATGATGACTATCTCTGCTTTTGATGGGAAAATGCGACTTTCTTAAGTTGAAATAAATTTTTTAACCTAGAATTTAAAAGAAAATTTAGTTTCATGTTTTTTTCAAAATGAAAGCAAAACGACGGAACAAAATGATAAAGATGGAGTGATGCCCCTAATAGTTATTTTATTTTATTTTATAAAAAAAATAAAGGTTGCCTTGTTGTTTTTGAGAATTTTCAAAGGAAAAATTTGTCTTTAAATTTTTTTAGAGATGCGAAATATTTTAAACTTTTATTTGAAATAATTTATCTCAAAAATTTTTAAAAGAGAACAATTTCACCCTATTATTAATATAACTTCAATACAAAAAATTTTAAATTTGACCTTATCACAAAAAAAAATGTGTTGGATAATTGTCGCATGATAAATAAGGTTAAAGTAACAATTAACAAACGGTTACATTAATAGCAAGATGAAATTATTTTCTTTTTAAAAATTTTAAAACAAAATACTCTTAGCAAAAATTTATGATACCCAACACTCAGGAAAAAAGTTTTAAGATAAATTTAATATTTAATCCTTGATTAAAACACAAGGCAACGCCAAATTTTTGTTAAAAATATCAGAGGCGACCAAATTGGATAAGAGAAAAAGATATGGTCCCCAACTTCAAATTTATTATCCCCGCCCAGTGATATCGACACGTGTCGTCCACTGGAGGCTGTCGGTTGCTTCTTTGGCAAACGACGGCCACTACCCAAGATTCTTCTCTTCTCCTAAATACCCCTACAACTTCACAGAATTACCTAGATGCATGCCCGCTTTGCCACGTGTCCAAATATAATTTGCTTCCTCTCAACGGCGTCGATGGCCTGGCCTCCCTTTGATGACCTTTTCACTTCGCTTTTCAGCACGCGGACTCCCATGTTGATGTGGCAGGAGCACGTACATAATCTTGCTGAGCTGTGCAATCTGCTCTGTGTTGGTCCTACCTAGCTGCCACGTGTCAAAGGCCCACTCTCTATTAATTCGCGTGACAACCAATATTTTGATGGAATTTAAATTTAAATCTCTCCAATATTTTTTCATTTTGTAGGTTAATATACATATTTAATTATATAATTTTATGTAACGTTTCATCCTTTAATTTTTTTATAAAGTACTCCCTCCATTTAAAAATTTAAAATATTTTTAAAAAATAAATAATAAAAAATGTAAAATATTTTTAATATTTTAAGATGTAGTTAATATATTTTTTAAAAGTATTTATGATAAAAAATTTATTTATTTTAAATTAAAATACCTATTAAATTAGGATAAATATAAAAAATAGTGTTAGTTTAAAGATAATTAATTATTTTATTAGAGATAAAATTTACTTAAAAATACTTTACATTTTTTAATAGATGAAGTATCTTTTTAGTTAGAATTAATACAATTAGTTTATTTTTTTTCAATCAATGTTAATTTAAAAAATTTAAATCTAATATGTCAATATTTAAAAATATTTTGTCAATATTTAAAATGTTACTGTATAATCTTTTTTAATGAAATATTTAAAAGATTGAAGGAACACTGTGAATTTAAGAGACCAAATAAAATTTTATATGAAATTAAAAAACTAAAAATGTAATTTAACTTAGTTTTACAATTAAGTAAGTGAACTTACGTGACAATTAACTTGAAAGAAATTTGGTGCAAAGATCAATTGGGCTTGGCTCTAATAAAATAAGTTAGTCCCTCATAATGTAATAAAGCAATATTTAAATTATCTGATAAAGGTGCCCATATTAATGCCAACAATATCTCGAACAAGCATGTGGAGAAAAAAATTGGTGCGCGGGAGCTTGATTAGAATTTTCTCTTATATTTATTTAAAGCCCCCAACAATCTTATCCATATAATCTATAATATGATTAGGATGGCGTGAATGAAAGGTATTTTTTTGGACTTTATCAAAACAGTGTTTCATTTATTGGATTATGGAAGTTCAAAAAAATTTCCATAATGTCGAACCTCTCACACATAACGTTCTTTAGCGTATAAGGACATTGGATTAAACTTAAATCAATAAATTCGGCGCATTTTGTCGTGATATGGCAATACCTACATAAAACTCCGTAAACCTTGACTTAAGGCCAAAGAAAAATAAATAATCCAAACAAAAATAGAATAACATCCATTTCTGTAATTATTTATTTATATCTATATTTTGTATGATTTGTGTTAATTTATGTAGGCTGACTTTTGCATTCATAATTCATCAAACTTACGGCTTTGCTGGTCGGAGCATGTTGGCTTCACTTTGTTGCTAGTTATGGGTTCGATTCTGCAAGCATCACAGTGATTTTTTTTTTTTTTTTGGGGACCAAACATCACAGTGAATTGTAAGACTTTTATATTCATCGTTTTCACCTTGGTTTTAGTATTTACTGACGTAGATTAGCAGCGTGGTTACTGTTTTCTGGATATGGTTGGTGTTAACTTAGGTAGCCTGATCTATAAACACATTGTATGAAAATATTTTTATGATTGTGATTAGATAAAAATATAAATTAAAACTATTAGGTCATTCATATGATCGCCAAATTTTATACTTGGGATCATATATAGTTTGTTATCTCTGTTGCAAGATCTAGGTCTGGAATATAGCTATATCATATTCATGTGGATACTTTCATGATATGGTAGCAACAAAATAACAATTAAATTATCATTTTTGCTCACCAAACATACTCAAAAGATGTTACCAACGTTTAATTAATTACTTACACGAAAATTACAAAACTGTAGCTAGCCTACTTTAGAAAATGCAGCCCAATCAAACATGCAACAATAAAATATCAATCAGTGGATGAGATTTTCATATTTTCTGATGAATAAGAAAAAGGGCTTGTCATGGAGAAAGAGGGAAAAATATATACAAGGAATGAAGGAATATATATAATGTATTTTATTTGTGATAAAATAGAATTAATGGTAATTGAGCTGAATAGACAAATTTAATTTTTTAAAGTAAGGTTAATGGCTTAAGTTTTACAAATAAAGAATTATGTTAAGAGATATGCTCTTGATTGAACTAGATTTTACTATATGAATTTCATTAGTTGACATTAGCTACTCTCTCTATCTCAATTTATAATTTATAATGCATTTTTAATTAAAAAAACTATACATATCAATAAAGTTTATTAAATACAGTTTATCATCTTAATTTTTTTATAAACTTTTTAAAAATACACTTCACTAATTAGAGAGAGGGGAAGGAAATTTATTTAAGAAATGAAATAATGAAAAATAATATTGAAATAATCATCATTAATAACAATCTTATTTAATAAGTGAAATAATGTAATTTTTTATATTATTATCTCTTATTTAAATAATAAGGACTATGACATAAATTTTAAAGATAAATTGATAAAAAAATTGGATTTGGAGGACCAAATTAATAATTAAAATAATTTTAAAATATTAAAATGTTATAAAAAAATAAATGTAAAGAGAAATATGAGAACAACAACAAGAGATAAGTGAAATAGAGAAATCAAAGGGGAGATGGAAGGTCAAAGATGAAAGGTAAGAAAGGGAAAAAGGTGAAAAGATGTAACAAAGAAGAATGACCAATGAAGATGAAAAGGGAAAGAAAGAGGAATGAAGAAAAGTGGGGGAGAGAGAAGAGGGGGATATATAAGGGCACTATCTATCTTGATAAGCAAGAAGGGGGGAATCCAACATCACCCAAAGATCTCATACGCCACAAGAACTTGTGGCTCTCCTTCCTTCTCCTTTTGCTGATGTGTCTCCCCCTTCCCTGTTTTCACACTCTTTTCCCTTCCCCATATCCACTTCCCTTCCCTTTCCAAACGACTAACTCTAAGACTCTACACTTCCACTTCCTATAAATAGTCCCCCCTTATTTATTTTCCTTTATTTTTTCCCCAATTTTTCAAAGAGACCAGAGAGAGAGAGAGGTCAGAGAGATTCCTGTACCTGAACCTTTAAGAGTGGTAGGAAGCAGCAATATAACACAAATGACGGAGGTTAAAGACCCGGCGATTAAGCTCTTTGGCAGGACGATTTCTCTCCCGCCCAACCGCCATGCCTCCCCTTTTCATCATTCCTCTCACCATCATACTCCTCCTTCTCCCCGCCCTCAGGTATTTCATATATATATATATATATATCATTCCTTACGTGCCACCCCATTTCTTCTCTTTTCATTCAATATTGAGGTTGCTTCAGATGATTCTGGGTGGTTAACGACTTGTTCAGCTCTCCCCCTTTTATTTGTGTCTTCCTTCCTCCATTTCTGAGATTCCACTTTCATTTTCCAGTCGTCTTCTGTTTGGTTTCTCAATTCAATTCTATAAACCCACTTGTTTCCAATCTTTGATCTGTACTTCAGGGTGTGTTTTCGAGTTTTTTATAACGGTTCTGGCTTTCCGAAGTCCTGTGACTGATTTATATGTGGTCAATTTGATCCTGTTCTGGATTTTTTTTTTTAATTTGATATTGGATTTCTGGCAACATCTCAGATATGACCATTTCAATGGTTTGGAGATTTATTATTGGGTTTCTTGTTCTGTTAAACTCTTATCGCGTTCCTTTTCACGCCATGGGCTTCAATCGGAGTTAATTTCATTTGCGCGTGACACTTTGTCTATATTCTATTATTTATTCCGCTTTGGAATATAAATAACCCTTTTCTAAATGATCTGTAACGTTGTGTCCTTTCAGAAAATTTTATTCATATATATATATATATATATGTGCTTATATTTTATTGACGAACTATTTTATACTCGTAAACTTCTCTCTGCATATATTAACTTGTATGTCGGGGTTGGAGTGTTCGTTTTCCATTTAAAGGTTAGTTTATATGTAACTGGTTAACTCTAAAATACCAAGATTAAGTTTTGGATTCTTGTTCAATGACCAGATGCTAGAGCTTTCTTTAGGTTTTTCCTCCTATAAGGTTCTTATGCTTCTGTTCTCGTAATCGGCCATTCTATAATCCTCTTATTACCGAGAAAAGGAGGTCAAGTATTCTATCAATTCCATCATGGCCTATCCCTATTCTATCAAAATCAACATCAAACTTCAACTTGATCATATAGAAAAATACGAGTGTACTCCAATGATTCCCTGCTCCTCTTGTGAGATTTTAACAAGCCTTTATTTTGGCTTTAAGTTTCCTTAATATTGCATCTGTTGAATCAGGGTCACTAAGTAAAATGAAGATAATTATTGATTTTATTGAAGCTGATTTCTTTATAAACTGATATTCCATGATAGGAAAGAAACTGATATGCTCAGAAATCGTATGCAAATAACATATCATTTGGCAATTTATCAACAGCAGAATTGTCTGTTAAAATGAAAAATACCAAGAAAATCTTGTGCTTCATATTCTGTTCTTGTATTGAAGCTGTAAATTCCTTGCCTTTCATTCAATGTTTTAAGTCATATTTAATACTTACGAGTCGCTTATTATTTCAGGAGTTGTCAAGGAATGAACTCACCTCAGTACAAGATGATGATGCCTCCTATCAAAGCACAGAGGAGTTAAAATCTTCCTCTGCATCTTCAGGCGTTTTTGAGAATCCTAAGACCCCCTCAGCAGAAAGAGAGACATCTTTAGTCAAATCTACTAAACATGGAGAACAAAGTGAGACAAGCAATTTAGAAGAAAAAACTCCCAAAAAACCTGACAAGATACTTCCATGCCCAAGATGCAATAGCATGGACACCAAATTCTGTTATTTTAACAACTACAATGTGAATCAGCCGCGTCATTTCTGTAAGAACTGTCAGAGATACTGGACTGCTGGAGGAACCATGAGAAATGTGCCTGTAGGGGCAGGTCGTCGCAAGAACAAAAACTCTTCTGCCTCACAGTATCGTCAAATAATGGTTCCAAAGACCCTTCAGATTGCCAAAGACGAATCTGCCAATGGATTGTACAATAGAGCAGCTGTCTTGACCTTTGGCTCAGATTCTCCTCTTTGTGATTCCATGGTTTCTGTGTTAAACCTTGCAGAGAAAACGCAGAATGGTGTTGTAAATGGGTTTCATTTACGCGATCGAAATAACTTTGTTGATAATGAGAATGATCAATCCGTTGGAGCTTCTGGTACAGCTTCAACTTGTACGGAGAGGAAAGGCAATGCTACGTTGCTGGAACCTGTAAATAATATTCGTCCAGGTTTCTCATGGCCTTGTCAATGGAACTCATCACAGTGGAGTTCTTCAATCCCGCAAGGTTATCCGGCATCATTCTGTCCCAATGCTATATATTGGGGTTGTACTTTGCCAGCTTCTTGGAATATACCATCCATCTCTGCACAATCATCTTCTGTTAACCAATCAACCCCTAGCTCACCATCTCTGGGAAAACACTCGAGGGAAGGGAACATTATCAATCCAGTCAACTCGCCAAAAGAAAATCCTAATGTGGAGAGTGGCAGTTCAGAAAATAGTGTCTTGATTCCCAAGACTCTACGAGTTGGTGATCCCAGTGAAGCTGCAAAGAGTTCTATATGGTCAGCATTAGGGATGAAGAATGAGAATGAAGGAGGGTTTTTCAAGGCATTTCCTGCAAAGAAGGATGACAAGAAACATATGGTTGAACCATCACTGGTGTTGCAAGCCAACCCAGCAGCTTTATCACGATCTCGTACTTTCCATGAGCAGATTTAACGGCAAAGCCTCATCAGATTTCCAATGACTGAGGCCTCAATGAAACGAATCTAGTGGAATTCTTGCCTTTGGCCCCCTGCAAGTTTTTCTTGACCTCCTCTTTTCTGCATTCTTAGGAACAGAATTATAGTTTAGCTTCCCTAGCTGCAATGTTGAACCTGTTATAGTTAACAGGTATAGTTTTGCTGCAGATTTAGATGATCTGTTAGTAAATATCTTGATGTACATACACAAGAGGGGCGAGAAAAATAATGAGGGATGAAGAGAGAGGAAAAGAAAAGGAGATTCTTGAGCTGAAATCTATGTCTTAAAATGAAACTATAATAGTTCTTCTGAAGCCTGCTGTTTCCTTTTGGAGATTTTCTCCATTTATATAGTACTGTTTCGTCCCAGTTCACTACAAAATAACTGTTCCCTTGCTTGAAAAGTAAAAGTAGAAATACTCAAGGAAGGAATAGACTTTATACAACTTGCTCCCCTAATAATTGAGGGATATTTTCCTTTCTATGATTCTTGACTCTCTTTCTCAGATCAAGGAAATCCAAAGAAAAATTAGTAACTCCCATTCCTTTAAAAGTACAGACTTGAAGTATGTGAACTTCCGTGTATATAACATCACACTAACATACTCTTCAACCCAGAAGTTCAGTTTTCCTTCGCCCTATAAATCAAGCTGCTGTGGGGAAAAAATGATCAAAGACATGATTTTCTTCTTGGCTTTATTTAATCTTTTCAGGTCTAACAAATTCTCTAACCACTTTTTGGCGAATTTTCATCCACACATTATGACAGTAGAATTTACAGAGTACAAGGCATCAAGTAGAACTCTTCTTACAAGGAGTAATTAAGTATTAGAGAAAGCTATAAAACCAGGAGAGTGCATGACTTTAAAAAAGGGGAGAGAATTTCACTTCTTTATTACAAAGTCTCCACTTGAGTGGATGAACTCGAATAAAGATCACAAAACAACAAACATGTCCCAAAGAGAATCCAAAAACTGGAGGTATAAGATAAAGTTATTGACTTTTATCTCTCTTGTTTTTTGCTCCTTTTCCTTTATTTCCGTGCCAGCACTAGACGAGGACACATATTTCTGGGGTACCTCAATTAGGACGCTATCAATGAACTTCGCCCATAAGTAAATGAGATTTAATAATAAAATAAGGTTATGAAAATTAGGCCCAAAAAAAAAAAACACTGGATACAGTAGGCATGTTTTGAGAGGTCACTGATGATGTACATGGGTGAGTGAGGGAAGGAACAAGAAGATATTTCAGGGTTGGTATCAGAACAAGGTGGCCACAATTTTTATGCGCAAATGCTTTCTGAGGGTCCCACTTAATGTGAAGCCATCACTCTTTAGTGGTCTCTGTTCCACCCGCTTTTGCCTTCCCCTTGCCTGTTTGGCCTTTCACTTTTAATAATATGCCCAAAATTTCTTCCATGTTCAAGGTCTTTAACAAAATGTGATAAATTTTAGAAATTAAAGTAATTGTTGGACTTAACAGAATTTATTATTTTTCAATAAAAAAATATTTTTAAATGTTGGGGTTGAAGGAGCACCACACATACTAAGTTGTATTATTCAACTTCACGAGAAAGACATATAATGAGTAAACTTAATATCATATATCTTAATCCAAAGCCTTAAGGTATTAATTAGATTTATGTTAAATTATATATTTTTCATTGTTGATTAACACTGCTTGTAACAAAAATAAAAATAAAGACAAGAGTGATATTGTCCGGAAAGAGCATTACTTAACAAATTGAACATTTTCAAATATAAAAATAATTAAATCCAATCCAGTTAAATAAAAATAAAATATTCATAGAAGTGGAACAAATTTCTTAGGCCATGGCAATGCGTGGGACATGTTATGAAAATAATGAAGATATTGGAGGAAGCAGTGTTTGGTTGCTTCAATTATGGAGGAAAAGTCTTGAGAAGAAAAAGTGGTGAACAATTTTCTTAAGAAAAAAGTGTTGGCCAAGTGCAACTTTAATTCCCACCTAAAAGAGAAAAAGACTGGCAAAAAGTCTTTGCAACTTTGCTTAATTGGAGCCCTATCGTTATCTCAAAGTGGAGCGAGCAATACAATATATATATATATATATATATATATATGATGGACTATAACTATACGTATATATATATTAATAATTAATATGCATCATATTTCTGCGCTCAGAAACATCAAGGTTTAACATCAATATGCACAAAATATTTTGGCCAAAAAAAAATGTGCACAAAAGATTCTTTAAGAAATATAACGAAGCAATTAAAATTAAAATTATTATTACGTGCAAAGCACTCAATCCGAAGCACCATTATTTTACACTAATTATTATTACGTGTAAAATAGTGGAGGATAACATTGAAATAATCATCATTAATGGTTAGCAAAAAAATCATCACCAATGAAATCTTACTTTTTTTTTTCAAAACATCTTATATATATCTTATAAAACAAGACGAAGGGAGTATATAACAATAACAATCAAAATGTTGCTTGGAGCTTAAAAAAGGTAATTATTATTACTACTATTATTATTAAGATAAGACTTATATAATTAGTCTTATATATTTAGTATACTAAAATAATGGAGGATAACATTGAAATAATCATCATTAATGGTTAGCAAAAAAATCATCACCAATGAAATCTTAATTTTTTTTTCAAAACATCTTATATATATCTTATAAAACAAGATGAAAGGAGTATATAACAATGACAATCAAAATGTTGCTTGGAGCTTAAAAAAGGTAATTATTATTACTGCTATTATTATTAGGATAAGACTTAATTAGTCTTATATATGTAGTATACTTACATCCATTCAAATTATGACAAGTTAATGTGATAATAAAATTAATATCAAGAAATTTTTATAAAATAAATAATCTATAAAATATTTAAATGTCTTGATTTACTTGAAAACAAACCTATTAAGTATATAAGCTTTTTTCCTTATTATTATTATAATGGTCTAGGCCAATTGCTAATTAAATAAGTAAATAAATAGTACGCAGATGTCAAATCATCAATTGTGAGGATGAAGAAATTAATTAATGCATGTCCTTTCCTCATTTGGTTGCAACCACACGGTAGCCTTCAAAATATAAATTTGATTCAATGAAACAAGTAATGATCATTTGTTAGTGGTTGAAATTGGATTGTGTGTTGCCATAATCTTGATTAGTTATTGGTGTTTCATAGCCCAACTTGTTGAAAAGATTATGTTCAATACGTATTTGAATTCGGTTTATTCATTAATCCTCGAGACTCCACAGCCCTCATGTTTTTCCTTTGTCAACACATATTTATTCATCAACATTAGTTATTCACGTGCCCCAATTTTGTCAACACACACACATACCCAGAGACAGCATCTTCACGTAATTAAAACGCAACCACCTTTGGCCTCTAAATATCTCCTTGACGCTGAAAAAATTTCATAAATTCAATTAATTGTAGTTAGTTTTTTTAATTAAAAAACATAATCATTAATCCCTAGAATTTTATCAAGTTTTGTTTGTAATCCATATAATTTGTTTTCAGTCCTTACAGTCATTGTAATTTAATATCATTAAGATCCTAGGGAACAAATGTCATCCAATTTAGCTGAAATTATAAAAACTAAAGACATTAAAAAAAATTATAAAGATTAAAAATAAAATTTAATAAAATTATAATGATTAATGATTGTATTTTTTTATTTTTTAAAGAGAATCTTCGATAATGTTTCCCTTTTGAATTGGAGCTGGTCAAATATGATTTTCAAAAGTATGTTAGATTGATTGACTGTTTTTTGTTTGAAAACTCCCCCCCCCCCCCTTAAATGTGATTCTGAGAGAATCACCTTTAAATGTGATATTATTGGAAAGGCATGACTTTTTGAAATATTTTTTTTTTGATTTTAGTGAACTTTCAATGAGATTTCTTCACAGTAAAAACAGGACAAGGTTACTTAAAATTTTACCGATGGCCTTGGGAGTTTCAAATATAAAACAAAACAATATTCCTCTGTTTTTTTCTTTAATACAAAATCTTTCTTTATAGCTTCAAACATGCTTTTAAAACTCTAAGAGTGTACTCCTTCCTGTCTTTTTATATAGAAGTTACTTTTAATTAATTTATCAAAATCAAAACAAGTTAGCTAGAGTAATAAAATTATCTTAAAATTAAATCACTTTTTATTTTTGCCTTTAAATTTTTAAAAATGGTGATTTGATATGTGAGGAGAGTTTTTTTTTTAAATTGAAAAATTACATTTCATTTTAGAATTTACAGAAGGGTATTTTTGAAATTATGTATAAAAAATTACAAAGAAAAAAAAAGGGATACTGACTTTTATAAAAGGACCAAAAAAATCTTATAGAACTTGATTAACAAATAAGACCCGGAGGGAGTATTTGCTAACAATTTTCAAAACCCAGTTTTCTTTGGTAAAACTCAGTTTTCTAATATGAACTTCCATTTCTGTTAGCAAAATGCAATGTTCTAGTGAGACTCCATTTCACAGAATAATAGAATAATGCAAAAAGACAATCATATAATACAAACTGGGTTTGCAAAAAGTATTATTAGGCCACAAAACTGATAGCCAAACATACCCCACCTTGAAAATTACAAATGCTAAATTACATGCTTTAATAATTCAAATTTAAATGTATCCAAATATAGCATAACTTTATTTAAGAAGTACAACGTCCTTAATCACTTAATCCAGTTCATTGATCACTTGAATTTTGACTAACAAAATTATTTGGGGCCAATAGAAGCAGCTGGATCACACGATGTCTTTTTGCTGTTTTGGTCCAACACTATGTCTTCTTTTGTTGATCTTGTGAGCACACTTTATTGGGCTCCTTTGATGCCCAACCAAGGCATTGCAATACAGTCTTTCCTAACCACTCCCAAAGGAAGAATCCTTGACCAATAATAATAATAAAGAACCTGATTTCTTGAACTTGCTTCGAGTTCTCCTTTGAAGCAAAAGGATGGTTGAATAATTAAGATTACAACACTTAGAATAAAATTAAGATTCAGTGGCACAAACAATTCTTGTATAATAATGAATACTGCTATGGTGAATTTTGAAAAACCATTATATATATATATATATATATAAGCATGTTATATATTTCGTATAAATGACCCACGACTATCTTCGATTTAAAAGATAAATTAATCCAGTCTTTTGACCACAACCTAATTTACAAACGATGAGAAATATTTTCCAAAAATTCAAATAATGCAATGCATGCTATGAATTGTCGTCAACATTATTTGCCACGGTTACGATTTCAGTTATTTTTTGGTGGTCAATAGA